AAAGTATAAAAAGAGGAACAACATCGCCAGAGCTATGTAGTTCGAGAGCTCTTCAGTACCTAGGAGAGCCTGTTCCACGTGTATTGCACTGTCCCAATTTCAATAAATCAAATCAAAGTTAGGAGAGTAGTTCTTGAAATTGCTGTAGTCCGTCTGTCCGTCGGTGTTGTCATCAATGACTTACTATGACTATGAGTAACAATTAAACTTTCTTACCACGACGCAATATAATGTCCGGTATTAACCTAAAGACGTAAACCTTTGATGATCTTTGCTGTTGTCGATATGTGTTTATTGTTTTGATGAACTGTAAACAAGAACACAGTATCTGAGTGGTCGAACATTCTGATTCTTGAGTATAAAGTGAAATCAATAAGTTAAGAGTAGAGCTGGGTTGACGTGTTACAGTTGCTATTATCCTACTCCGTTTCATGACAATACGTAACGAAACAATACGCCAAAACAGGGAAACTGCTCTAATCATTTGGAGTGCTGATTACACAATCATAATTGTTAGGCCTTACCAGAAAATCTCTCTCCCCTCTCTGAACATAAATCTGTAACTATTTCCACAAATTTTAGGACAGAATGTTTTTTTCTTCTTCAGCCCCAAGAATAATTTTTAAAAATCTAACGTAAATTCCACTGTGTAGGAAAAAAGACATTCAGAAGAACACGAGAAGCCTTTATTTAAATTATTTAATAATACGATTTCCGGATTGTCCAACATTTGCACAGTAAGTCACCCCGTTCAAGATGAAAAGCTTGACATCACCATGTACAGCTCAGTAGTGTCTGTGCAGTTCAGTATTCAGTTTTTTTTCGAGTAATGTATGGTATTGAACTATGCGGTTGCCCGGTTGGGTGGAACTGGATTTGAGAAATCATGCCACAACACTAGAACGGAGTTCAATATCACTGCACGAAATCCTATATTTTTAGCACATTTTAAAGAATGCGGTTTGCTACTTGAAAACAGTACATCAATGCAACATCGGAACTTAATAAATATACATATGTAATAGATTCGCTGTTCTGTTTTCATAGTTAAGGAATACGCACCTTAAAAATTTGTGTAGAATATCAAATTTTTTTTGGCATGTACATGTTTAAATAACGAGAGAAGAGACCATGTCAGACGCAAGCACGGGTACTTTCTGTAGTGTTCTTTGCGTTTTGAATTTGCCCTCATCATATTATCTAAGGAGATTTGATGATCACTGACATATATTGCACTCTGTTGTGATGGAAGAATCTTATGCATATGGGCCTACAATTGGAAAGATTCTCTGCCCTACTGCACATATGAGTACCATTATATCGTTCTTTAGTTCTTTTGATTCCTTAGATTTACATACCCTTCTCACATTGCAATGCAACATCGGAACAGCACATGAGAAAGTCAAGTAAACAGTGCCGTCTCGCTCCATTATTTAGCACGAATAATAGAAATAGATTTCATAGATGAAATTTGAATCAGGCCCAATTATAATTTACTGTCTGATTCTTCTAAGTAACACACGTAGAATTAGGATGGCAGATTTTGGTAGAATGTGGGGATCATACACCCATTCCATTACACCTTTACATATACTAGTAGGTCTTGATAGTCTCGTTTATGTATCTAAGCACTCAAATATGTATCTAGTAAGCACACTAACAAACGTTTTCAATGTCAGTAAACACTGTCTTCCTGACTTGCTATTCTTGTTTTATCCCACTTGCTGTTCGTTTTATCCTCAATTTAGACGTGCTACAGATTGCAATGTCAATGTTACGGATGCTTAAGTTTAAGGTGTGTTTATAGAATGGATTTTGTGCAGTGAATATCTCAGGATAGTTGTCGAGTTTGAGCTTAACAACAAGGGAACTCACCATAAATTTTTTGTCGATCTCGTCAACCTTTGTCAGATGTGTGATCCACTCGCTGACTCTCCGGAAGTCGGAAGCGTGATGGCGTCAGGAGTGCATCGAAAATAGCGGGAAGACGGAACAGATCTTGAACCACCTCTGAACTGTGACGGTGGCAGATTCCGTCTTCCCGCTATTTTCGACGCACTCCTGACGCCATCACTCCGACTCCCGAACAGTCCGGCAGCGAGTGGACCACACATCTGACGAAGGTTGACGAGATCGAATAAAAATATATGGCGAGTTCCCTTTTCACATGTGTTGAAACTATCTATGCTTCTACCAACACAGATGAGCTTTCATTTAACTATGGGGTGGTTACAGCAAATGTAACGCTCACTGCACCTCTGTGAACGCCTTTTGCTTCTCCTGCAGGCTGATCTCGGTCTTGGTGGCTTTGACCTCCAGCTGACGGAACACGAACATGGGCATGTTCCCCTGGACGCCCCTGACCGGCTTCTGGAACGTACAGTTGGTCTGCACCATGGCACGGTAGCTTCCGCCACTGCTGGTGCTGTCAGAAGGAAAGTATATATACAATTTAGCAGACGTAATTGAGAATGACTTGAACCAGACGGCTGTCACTATGGTAACCGGTGCTGTAGCAGACACCCTCTGGTGTTGGATTACATGATGTAGCACCATGGCACGGTAGCTTCCGCCGCTTCTGGTGATGTCAGAAGGAAAGTATATATACAATTTAGCAGACGTAATTGTGAATGACTTCAACCAGACGGCTGTCACTATGGTAACCGGTGCTGTAGCAGACACCTTGTGGTGTTGAATTACATGATGTTGCGCTATGGCACGGTAGCCTTGGCCGCTGCTGGTGCTGTCAGAAGTTAAGAAAATATACAATTTAGCAGACGTAATTGTGAATGACTTGAACCAGACGGCTGGCACTATGGTAACTGGTGCTGTAGCAGACACCTTGTGGTGTTGAATTACATGTAGCACCATGGCACTGTAGCTTCCGCCGCTGCTGGTGCTGTCAGAAGGAAAGAAAATATACAATTTAGCAGACGTAATTCTGAATGACTTGAATGGCTGTGAATGTGAGTGGCTGTCACCATGGTAACTGGTGCTGTAGCAAACACCCTGTGGTGTTGGATTACATGATGTAACACCATGGCACGGTAGCTTCCGCCGCTGCTGGTGCTGTCAGAAGGAAAGAAAATATACAATTTAGCAGACGTAATTGTGAATGACTTGAACCAGACGGCTGTCACTATGGTAACTGGTGCTGTAGCAGTTGAAATCTATGTGATCATGAAGGTAGAACAAAAGACTAAACACTGTATCGTATGGTGAAAATATAGACTTCATCTTGATTTCTTCACATTTTTTTCTTTCCTTTGGAATTAATATCGATCGTTTTCCATTACTTCAATAATGCAATTTACTGCAAATATTTGCTCATTTAGCTGCTTGTACGATTTAAAGTGGAAACGGACGAAAATTCATGCGCTCGGATGCCATTCATATTATCAAATCGACATGGCCCAACAGACTGAAAATATCTTGGGCCACAGCAAGTAATGTTTATGGATGACATCAGCGCGCGCATTAATTTTCGCCTGATTTTGGGAAAAAAAATACAAGAAATTTCGTTTCCTTCTGACAGTGATCAAATATGCAAAGCTGCCAAATGTCTGCTGCCATGCCGGAGGGTGGATGGCAGATAACTATGAAGAGAGGAGACAAGAAAAGACTGATTTAATGTTTTGTTTCTTACTTTGATGCAGTGATATGTGATGTTGGCTGTGTGTATGTGATGTTCCCACTAAATAAAAACTTTCTGCCATTACTGAGTCAAAATCTTAAAATGCAGGAACTTTTTTCGGCCCGCTCGCATTAGATTTGGAGTCTGCGGAGGATGTTATCCATAAGATTTACTTGCTGTTGCCTTACCGGTAGGTCCAGTCAATGTTGTCGACCAGACTGTGCTCGTCGACACACGTGATCTTCGCCACGGTCCTGTCCAGCGAGGCCAGGGAGTTGGTCATCACGGGTCCACTGGCGGGAAAACCGCTGCCAACCAGCTGAGAAAGACAGTAATTTTTTTTATTCACACATTGAGAAAGGTAAGGCCATGTTGATTTTACTATATGGATGATATCCGAGCGTGCATGAATTTTCGGCCATTTAAAAAAACGTTTTCAACCATACTGTTAATCGTACAATCGTACCTTTATAATCACGTAGATTTCATAACGAAAGCAAGTTTTTTGCCAAACTTATTCGCACGCTTGCATCAGTTTTGGGGTTTCCCAGAGGACGTCATCCATATAATCAAATCAACATGGCCTAATACAATACAAAGTGGTAGCTAACTCAAATAGCAAGGACTTATTTTCACGCTACGATTTACAGATAAAAAAACAGATTAATTTTAAAAAGCCAATATAAATGAAGTACGAAAGATAAAAAACAGGGCGTAAATAAGAACAAAGCTGTTGGCATTCCCCACCTTCCAGGGAAGAAAACATGACAAGACATGATACAAGGGAAATTTGAGTTTCGTAAGCGATTCGTTGCGGTGACGGTAATGAATTGTCGATTAAACAAAATATTTGAAATAGAAGGGTCTACAACTTGTCCAACAAAACAAACACCACAACAAAAACAACACAACACAAGACAACGCCGTACTATAACGAAAGGCATACTATATACATACATAGTCTATTCTAGTTGATGACAATTTCAAAAGCTTTCAAAAGCGTCCCAAAGACCTTATTTGTGATCTCTCCTAAAATCATGATCAGTCGATTTCTTTTCGGTAAAAAATCTATCTACATCTCTTTGACACCTTACGTCCTATGAGAAGATCTCAGCCTATAATTTCTATCAGAAATTTGGAAATATTATATATTCTATATACAGTGTAGACGATTCAAATTTCGAATTGACCTACGTGGAAGTCTCCCTTGATCTTGTCGCCCTTGTAGGTGTAACGATAGTTGGCAGTCAGAACGGCGCCGTCCTCAAACTGTATGGTACGATGTTCGTTGTACTTGCTGTAACACAGTCAAACACAGGACTATTTATAGCATTTGCAATGATGAAGTAATGGAGTTTTTTTATCGGTTTAAAGACCATATATGGCACCAAAATGTCTGTAGACTTCAGTGCATATAAATATTGAAAGTACAATATTAAGTTGGTCTTGATCATGATCACTAAGGTCATGTTGATTTGATTATATGGATGACATCCTCCGGGAACCCCAAAATTGATGCGCGCGTGCGAATAAAAAAAAAGTTTTGCAAAAAAAAAGTTGTTTTCATTATGAAATCTACGTGGTCATGAGGGTTGAACAAATGGGACGGAATATGGTTTGGCGAATAATCTAGTCTTCAAGTTCATTTCTTTACAATTTTTTTTTCGTTTGATTTTGGCATTCTACGACATTGGTATGGTTTTTTTGTAACTTACGGTATATTTTTGCTCATTTTGCAACTGTTTTGTACGATTTACAGTATGGTTGAAAACTTTTTTTTTGAAACGGCCGAAAATTCATGCGCGCGCGGATGTCATCCATATAATCAAATCAACATGGCCTAAGAAATAGTTGTTTGTACGGCCTTACCAAAAGTGTAACCTTCCCGATCGCCCGCCTTGGGCATGTATTTTTTTGCATGCATGTTTCATTTTAATTTAGTGTACATTTCTGGAGCTGACATCATGGGGTGCAAAAATAAAACACACCAATGCGAAAAGTCTGCCGCGACTGACATGTGTTGACTTTTTTGAGGCGGGGCATGTAACAGGAGAACCGAATTTATTGCAAACGTGTCTGTTCGCCAGGTAATACTAGTTATGTCCATGTCGGCTAGAATTAGAATCAGCCTCCAGTTAAATTCCATAATTCCAGTTTAATTTCGGACCAATTCCCATATCTCAGCAACCTTCAAGTTACATAAAGAGGGGCTAATATCGTAAACTAAACGCAAAATGATGCAAGAAATACGTGGCAGCCATCGAGGACCGTCTGCAGAATTCTGGCTCCATTCGAGAATTCTGCAGAATCCTGGCACCGATTCCCTTTTCTGCGGAATTGAGTCAATCCCAAGGGGTCCTCGATGGCTGCAACGTATACATATTTCGGACATCATGTTACCTACTGTAATATACAACGTTAGCCCATCTATAGATGTAAGGTCTAACTTACATCTTTAGACCTAACACCTTACATCTATAGATGTAAGGTCGCTGAGACATTAGTCTTGAATTAAATTGTAAATAAACGGAATTTAATTGGAGGCTCGTGGGGTCATTTGGCGTAGCGGCAGAGTGCTCGACTCGGAACCAAGAGGTCCCGGGTTCGAGTCCTGCCATGCAACCGATCTTGTGCCCTTTGGAAATGCACTTTACACGACTTTCCTCTCTTCGCTAGGTGAAAATGAGTATTGTATTGTCCCCTATGTTGGTGGCGCCATTGATATAAGTTGAAAAAAAAACTTCAATGTGCTTTTTGTGACGTCTTGTGATTATGTGTTGGAATAAAATATTGGAGGCTGTTCAGTTAGGTCGTGCTTTGGTAACGTAACAAAAAGACCTGTCAGACCTACCCTCCGACATCGATGGCGGCCTGGTAAGGTGACGGCCCGCCGGGGAAGGGCAGGTACTGGTAGAACCCGAACCCCAGATGGGGCGCCACGATGTGGGGCGAGAAAGCCGGCAGGTCACCTTTGGTGGACGTCACGCGGCTCTCAACTGACCCCTGGTGGGAGAGGAGGAAAGTACGGTGTTACATGAATTTGATAAAACAATGCTGTTGAAAATGTCATTAAATTCTTGGCTGCTTATCTAATTTATTGAGACTAATTTCTTTCAACTTTGTGGGGTCGTGTGGCGTAGCGGCAGTGTGCTCGACTCCGAATCAAGAGGTCCCGGGTTCGAGTCCTGACATGCCACCGGTCTTGTCCCCTTGGGAAAGGCACTTTTCACGACTTTCCTCACTTCGCTCAGGTGAAAATGAGTATTGTATTGTCCCCTCTGATGGCGGTATTAATATAAGTTGAAAAACGTTGATTGTGTCGTCACCATGTCTTGTGATTAGATGTCGGAATATAAATAAAAAACTTTTAGGAATCCAACCCAGTATGTGAACTACGGAGACACGTGTCGACATCATGACTTCAAACTCGCGTATTATTCAGCCTTATAAATCAAATAAAATCAAACTCACTCCAACGCTTTCTCATTGTTTTGGTTTAAGGACACCAAATTTTGACTCATTTCTTCTTGGGTGGATATGAGAAAAATACTGTCAACACTGTATTCCGTAGCTCGGCCCCATCCCTCCTGTGGGTTGGGTCTCCCTCCGACCCACGGTCGGGCTGGTGCGTATCTCTGGAGACACGGAATATATCGTTTTGTATTCTATACGTACATCATACTACAGAGCGCACTTACGTCTTTAGGGTTGCCGCTACCGCCTCCCACCATATCAAACTCCAAACCGTTGATGGAGCCATGGATGTGCAGGTCGTGGCTTGTCGGGATAGACTGAAATGTAAGTGCACTACGCACTATGGAAGACATGTAAGGCTGTAGAAGGAGAAAATGCAAGGCTTTTTATCATGAGAATATTCAGAGGCAAGTAAGAAAAGTAAGTCATGGAAAGCTATAAAGAATGCCATGAACTCTGGTCTCCTTCGCCGACTTGTGGGGCGGCGGCGTTGATTTTTTTTTCGGGAAGCGACGCGAGTTATGCCGCGGATTGAGACCGAGGGAGTTTTGCCTTAGAACAAGTTTTGCTGGAAAGGAAAGAGTACAACGAGAAATATTCTTCCAGGCCACTTACGAGAGTCAAAATGTAAACAGCTACGTATACGCTGCAAGGCTGAATAAAATGACTTACCATGATTTGCAGTGATGTGAACTTAGGATGTCGACTGGCGAAACAACTCTGAAAGCACAGCTCTTCTCACTGCCAGCTGCTCATCCAAAGTGTGGTCCAAATGACAGACAAGGGTTTATAGCCCAACTTGGGACTGTTCCATTTGTTTTGCAGGTAAATGTCTAAGACTAGGCGACACCAATGAAGGAGGTTTGTTTAATTGAACAAACCGTGACCCGGAAAATCTAGATCTGTACATTATTCGAAATAATATAGCAAATGTGTTATGACAAACCTGCATTTTATTCGTTGGTAATTAAAATCAGTAACAAATTCAACCCCCCAGGTTAGACAAAACAATCGTTTCGTCCAGCACCATGGAATCACCTGTGGGCCACCTGTGCTGCCCATCTGTTGCAAATGGTCTGAAAAACGCGAGGGAGAAACCGGGCGATCTGATTGGCTGATAAGTTAAACTGATAAGTTAAGGCGATCGTCAACAACGTCTACCGTCAGTTGACTGTCAACAACAACCCTAAGTCTTGTCTACAGTCTTGTAGTTTCTTACTAGTTGAAGGACAAATAGACTAATTTCACTTTTAAGGACTTTTAACCCCAAACCCTGTTTGCAAAAGGTAATTCATAGGTACCATACCAGTACTGCATAAATCGGGGTAATATGCCTGCCTAATCCGCTAGGCGGCGCAGTTAGAAGGCCTGTGACGTAGTTGTACACTTAATCTGATTGAATTGGCCACGACATCACTACTCTTTTAACGTTAGTACATAAAAGAACATCCAAATCGAAAAGGAAAGGAAAACGGGCAGCCACAGAACTGATTATCACCCAAGAGAATTCAGTAGACTATTGTCTGCATTTCAGTCATTCTAAAATTGCGATCGTCATACGTTATCCGAAATTAGACGTACACTATAGAGAAAATTGGATTAAGTGGGCAACCTACGTCACAGATGTTCTTTCTGCGCCTCCTGGCGGATCAGACAGGCATCAGCAGTGAACATCGATTTGAGTCAAATATCTAGTGGAAATCTATGAATTACCTTTTGAGAACAGGATTTCGGGGGTTTAAAGTCCCCAAAAGTGAAATCAGTTAATTCTATTTAAGATAGAAATAGCAACGGAATCTGTTAGTTTAGGTGCTTAAGTAGTAGGTACACATTTTGTTACACAATACTGGTAAGGCCATGTTGATTTGATTATATGGATGACATCCCTTGGGAACCGCAAAACTGATGCGAGCGTGCGAATACAAAAAAAAATTGCAAAAATAAACTTTTCCTTCATTATGAAATCTACGTGGTCATGAAGGTTGAACAAATGACTACACACACATTATGGTATGACGAATAATAATAGACTCTTCATTTTCATTTCTTAACATTTTCTTCTTTTCCTGAATTGATTTCGGCATTCAATGTCATTAGTATCGTTTTTCAATACTTTTTTTTGCAACCTACGACATATATTCGCTCATTTTGTACGAGTTACAGTATGGTCGAAAGCTTTTTTTTAAACCAACAGAAATTAATGCGCGCGTGGATGTCATCCACATAATCAAATCAACATGGCCTATTATACCTAGAGTTCCACGATCACATACCATAACAAGCCGCTAGGGGGCCCAAAATCTAAACATTTTGAGGTCTCATCAAAACCTATTCACTAAATAGCAAGGCAGTCCAACCAAGCCTTCTCGAGTTATCGTGTTGACAAATATACACGCATACACGCATGCACGCGCGCGCGCGCGCACACACACACACACACACACACACATACACACATACACATACAAACACACACACACACACAAACACACACACACACACACACACACACACACACACACACACACACACACACACACACACACACACACACACACACACATACATACACACACGAACGGTACCTAGTCTAGTGTGTACGCTAATATCAATTGTATGAGTTAAAAAGAAAACAGTTAAAGCAATTATAGTACCCATGGCCAAAGCCTTTATTTGAAATACCAAAGAAATAAAATACATGTAATTGCAAGAAATGCATGAAACAGACTCATCTCTGACGAAACATACAGAAATAAAAATCTCATTGTCTTGTGTAGATGTAGTAGTGATATATTTTTACCATTGTGAAGATTATCAGCCTCTAAAATATACCAATATTCATGCCATTTTCAGAATCACGGTTCATTTGTGCGAAACAGGTATTTTCTAACTTGCGTTTTACTAGTTCTTGTTGTAACTAGTGTTAGGAGCTGTTTGGGATAAAAACTCGAGAGAACCATTTTCATTCCCAGAACTACCAATAGGAGCTTACAGTTGTTTATCATTATGAAAATTAGTCCAATAGAAGCGAAGAATTCTCTGTGACTGTGAAAACCAGTCACCACAGTCTGCAAAACCATGAAACGGGGTTAAGATGTTCCCAGTCGTTCTGACTCTGAGATGTTGGTTATCAAGCTTCTATAGCTACTAGTAGTAGCCCGATTGGATGTACAAAATGCATATATATGTAGTCAGTTGTCTACGTTCTGTTTCATCACACAGTCATACATGTATGTCGGAAGATTGTACTGAATGGGAAGCGCATCAAAATTTAGACCCATTTTCAAATACGTCGTGAGCCTCGTTTTGATTCAACCTCACGCACGTTCTCGTCAGATTCTGCTCTCGCGAAGAAAAAAATCAAAATGGCGCCTGTATTTGGATTTTGAAAAAAGATTAAACTATGTTGGCTCCCAATGTTAAACTATGTTGGCTCCCAATGTACTTGATCGAAATTGTCAGTAGCGTAACCAGCTATTTTGCTCCTAAAATAGAACTTCTGCTACCATTCTGCTAAAAAAAGCATTCTCCGCAGTGCCAAAACCAAAAATGTAAAAAAATGGTGCGAAGTTTGTCCAGTGAGGTTTACATTTGACTTTCAAAAACACCCCTTCGAAGTGATTAAAGTGTCAGAAAATTAGTATCAGGATCTTCACTATTAAGTGAAGCGTTGTTCTTGTAGAAAGCGCACAACCAGAACTAGTCTTGCTATGCCAACCCACGCACTTGCACAACCAGTATCTTGAACCAGCTCCATGGGCCGGACCTTCATCCACACTGGGGTTCAGATCTGGAACCAACTTCCATTGTGACACCATTGTGGGTGACATCTACAACAACGGACTGCAGTCCTTTAAAGTCAGAGTGCATCGACACCTCCTTCATTGCAATTGAGAACTTGGCAGCTGTGAGCCACTGATTGCCCACTGATTGAGCCATTGTACAATCAGTGGGTACAGCACATTATATATAAAAAAAAAGTGTACGAAAAAATGTTCAAATGTGAACAAATATCATAACTTTCATTGTCAAACGTCTGTAGCTGAATTGTAGAAACGTCTTTATATAGATGTTATCAGTATTTAAACAAATTACAGTGAGAAAAACAAGTGTTAAGAGATTCACCAAAGTTGTTCTTGTAGATAGTGCGAAAAAAAATGTTGGTGAAAATCATGACAGTCAAACGGTGAAATGGTGAAAACGTCTCGGAAATTATAACTATTTAAACAAATTTCAGTGAGAAACACAAGTTCTAGAAGATTGCCAAATGATATAGGGAGGCAAGGACATCGTTCAAATTGTCCTGATGACAAAGCTATTTTCGTCTTCATTCTACATGTACAGTTTTGAGTATCGCTAGAAAATCAGTATGAAGTTTTTTTGGGTGTTTTCAAGCAAATGTTATACACTGGACGCTCACATCACGTCGGTGAATGCCTTCTGCCACTCCTTGAAGGTGACCTCGGTCTTGTTGGCCTTGAGGTCCGTCTTACGGAACACGAACACCGGCTTCTGCTGCAGGATGCTGGCGGTCATCGGCTTGGCGAAGGTGTGGATGTTGCGCACAGTGCTCTGGTAGCGCTTACCGCTGGTAGTGCTGAATGGTGTGGGGAGGGGGGCAATACAACAAGTTATTGGACTATAACAGTATTGAAATGTAATGTTATGTGATGTATTAAGTACTAGTATGACCTTGTTGGCATCTTGACTTTGAAAAGGTGTCCTATGTCGAACAGTTTCACCATGCCTTCCAATTTTGTTTTAACATTTGTCACTTCTTTCCAAGAACAAAATCTATCTGTCATCCAACATTCGTGACCCTGGCATGTCCAGATCATGAGATTTCAAATTCCGCCGGAATTTTTGCTGCAGTACATGTACAAGCCGCGAGGGAGCCGAAAATCCCATCATTTTGAAGTCTTATCAAGAACTTCCCACCTACCAAGTTTCATGACAATCCATTCATAGCTTCTTCGAGTTATAGTGCTTTTTTAATTTTTTTTCGGTTAGCACCACATACACACATGCACACACACAAACGCTACCAAAAACATAACCTTCTGGCGAAGGTAAACAAAAAAGCAAAAGCATCCATACGTGTATGCCATGTCAATGGTGCTCTGGACGGTGTTGTCGTTAGGGGACACCAGTTTGGCCACGCTCCAGTCCATAGCCGTCAGTGATTTGGTCATCACCGGGCCATCAGCAGGGAAACCGCCCCCGATCACCTGAAGAATATATTGTCAATACTATAGAGAGACCGACAAATACAGCATATTTCTGTCTATATTAGTAATAAACCCAGAGTTCCAGGATCGAATCATAAATTCAAGAGCTGTCTGCCGCCCATAATGCGTGACCCTACTGTTCAGATGATAGAGATCAAACCGGAAGCTCTGTTGCAGGACTATAACAAGCCGCTAGTGGGCCCAGAATCTAATCATTTTGAGGTTTCTACTCATCAGATTCTATAACATTATATTTCATCAATACCATGGCATGGGCTGAAATATAACAACTCGTACTTCAAGACCCCATCACACATTCAGAACCTTCCCCGAACCCCAGCCGACCAAAGTTGGCTAAGGCTTGGAGAAATATGACCAGACTTAGACCACACCTATCTATATAAATCAAATGTGTATTAACTTGATTCCAGTTTCACAACCAACCATAACCAAACCTCCCGTCAACACATAAACATTTCCAAACATTCAGCTTGCGCAGCCTAACAGTAGTCAACAGTAGCCAACCTGTCCGAACACTTGCCGACCTTTTCCTAACCATGGTTGGGAGAGTTCGGCTAGTGTTCGTGAGGCCATACAGTATATATTCTATGTGTGACGACGGGGGGTTGACCGGGCTTAATTACCTGAAACTCCCCTTTGATGTGGCTTCCCTCGTAGGTGTAGCGGAAGTGAGCACTCAGGATGGCACCGTCTTCAAAATGCACCGTGCGGATAACTTGGTACCTAAAATAAACAAACAAATGAAAAGCACAAAATATAAATGTTGCTGATCGACCAAAGATTTGACCAATCGCTTCACAAATTTAAGATAGAAACGATTTTTTCTTACGTTTTCACATCGACTATTTCACAGAAAGTAACTCTAGTTAATTAATAATTAGTTGATTTATTTATCTATTTAAAAATGATCTGTTATGTATTATTACTACTATTTGTTTCATTACTACCATTATATAATTTGTCAAATGTTGGTGGAAGATCCCGGACAAGCCATGAAGCTTCTTTATATTCCCCCGCATATCCTCATTAGTTATGCTCATGCTACTCCCTTTTGTTATGTTCACACTAATTTTACTACATGCTCATTTTACTACATGCTCATTTTACTACTCTTTATATGCAAAATAAACTAAACAAAATCTTACGCTAAAAATCATCTGCTTTTCCGACAACACTCCGGTGTCACTGACGAAAGGTAGTGCATGCTACCTGAAACGTCTGACCGTTGCTTGAGTAAATGTTTTTGACGTATCTTATTACGTGTATGTCTAACCTTCACCGACACTGAAACAGACTCTTACCCCGAGCTGCCTTGCATGGTGGCCTGGAAAGGCGACACCCCTTGGTCGGGAAAAGGCAGGTACTGGTCGTAGCCATAGCCGAAGTGAGGGGCGAGGACGTAGGGAGAGAAGAGGGCCTGCAAGGGGGGGTATTGATTACGAATTACGCCAAATTTTCGCCGCCGATTACGAATTACGTTAAATTCTCAGAGCTGATTACGAATTACGTTAAATCATGAGGATTCCCGACCGTCTAAAACACAGCAACTAATAGTGAGAACCTGTAGTTCTACGTCAAAACTATTGCCTTTGTGTTGATTGGCGCATAGGCGCTAGATCCAGGAGTTTTTTTAGGAGTGAAGACAAGTTCTGGCGGGTGCCAAAATCACCCGAAATCGGGTTCGAACCGGTGGCAGCCGAAGGCACCGGGCGATAGGAGAAGCCGATCAGCGAGTTCCGAGCGCGCCACTGAGCCATGGCGATAGAGGAACATGCTGTGGATACTGGCTTCCTAGTCGTGGGGCACTCCATTCACCTTGATTCAGCCTAGACCGGGCCCGATTTATGGTGTCCCAACTCACTCATCTGCCAGAACGGGGGCAATATCACTACACAAAGACCGAGATTAGAAATTTTGATTTTGGGGGGGGGGGCGCTGATTCAAGTTCGGGCGCCGAAGGCGTCCGTCAGCGAGCGCCGCAGGCGCGAGTCTGCTAGGGGGGTCCGGGGGCATGCCCCCCCGGGAAATTTTTAGTTTTTAACCCCCCTGAAACGCTATTTCCAGCATTTTGAGACCTACATTTTGACTGGACTTCGGTTGTGGATTGGACCATTTTGAAATCAGCCTACGCTCTTATGATCTCATGGATTACGCTTTACGTCGCATAAAAGTAACTAATTACGCTTTACGGAGAATAAAAACGACCAATTACGCGTTACGGCTAATGTACCGATTACGAATTACGATGATTTTGGACGGCCGCCTACGGATTACGAAGGCTAAAAAGGCCTGATTACGCCTTACGAAAAAGGGCTTGCAGGCCCTCAGAGAACGGGAGGGGACCCTTGGTGGACTTCACTTGTAGCTCCTGGGACCCCTGCAGATGGAGGAGAACCAGTTGGCAGTTAGTAGAACATCCATCAATCAGTGACTGTTTGTAACCTAAAGGTAGACACACGTACCTCCAAATTTTCGATGTCTACCGTACATCTTGATCACGGAGTGACCTAGTCTCGCGAGAACACAAGACTAGGTTGAGACCTGTGCAGGTCTCGTGTTCTCGCGAGACTAGGTCACTCCGTGATCAAGATGTACAGTAGACATCGAAAATTTAATGGAGGTACGTGTGTCTACCTTTCAAAACAGTCACTGATTACTAGTCAACGATTTCTACGTATACGATTTATTTAGCCTGCAAAAGTCTGGTGGAGACTTTATCTGTATCTGTATAGCCGGTATAACCGCCCTTCGGCGTAACACACCAGCTTCGCAGGCACGCGGCGCGGCGGCAGCTAGCTATATCATACCGAACGACTTGTTACACTCAATCTTTGCGCATTTAATTGCAGGAGCTGTTTAAAGCTTTCTAGTGACGATGCCGCTACTGTGCTTGGTGGCAACGAGTTCCAGTCTACGATAGTTCTGGGGAAACACGAGTTTTTGAACACCTCAATTCTTGGTTGATAACTCTGATATTTGAAGGCATGACTGTTTCTCGTTCTTTCCTGGGCTGGTATCAGATACTTAGTGGTTGGTACGTCCACCAGTTATACTTACATCTTTGGGGTTGCCGGTGCCACGGCCCACCATGTCAAACTCAACGCCATTGATGGAGCCAAAAATGTGAAGCTCGTGGGACTGCAATCAAAATATTGCATTATGTAACATTATTGCACAAAAAAATGAAAAGTTGTATTTAAAAAATATTCGTGTGATTGTATTTTACTTTCATTATAATCATCGTATTTGAGAAATCATCTCACTTTTCTGAAATGTTATGGCTGTTGCTAGAACAACTCACACGAGGAGCACTGAGTTTGTGGTGCCACCAAAAACATCAGAATGTAAACAACCATGTTTGTTTACATCAGAAAGTAAACAAACATGGCAGCTGTGTTTCAAGCTTGTAAATACTAGTGCACTCGTAAAGCGTCATATTTTGACATCTCTACTTTCTGACTGGTACTTACATGCAATAGCGAAGGGTTTTGTCAACTTACTTTGCAAAGAAATGACTAGAAAATCGATCAATTTTGATATCGTCCTAATGTTATAAAAACTGACGACATTTGACTCTAGCGAACATAATAATTATTCTTTTTTATTAAAACATATATAAAGAAATACAGACACGATGACGGCGTACTCAAGTTAGGATAACTTATATTAGCGCCGCCATCAAGCAATAAATTTAATACAAAAGTATAATTATTTACACACATCGTCACGAAGATGAAAAAGTAGATTTGAAAAATTGTGTACCTGAAATTTGGGGATAATTTTTCTCCACTGTACAAATGTCAAACAAAGGCTGTTTCTAATCTTCATTAGCTAAAATTAGCACAATGAAAATGTTAGTTATAAATCAATTAGTGCAGAAAATTTACCATGATTGTATCGATGTCGTCTCAGAAAACCACCGATGAAGGAAACGTCTGGAGTTCTGTGAAAAAAGACAAAAGTGTCATTGATAATTTACCTATTCATTTGCCCTCTTTTGACTTGATACGGGTCCAAATACGGAAAAAAAGAATAATCTCCAAGCAGATGTTTTGGTGACTGCAATATCAAAGTGTTCAAATGGTAACTCTTGAGGCCAATTAGGCCGTCCCCTGCCCCGAATGAATCTACTTGGAGACTAAAAAAAGTCCATGAAAATATGTTTTCGATTATGAAACTTTTGTACAAGGACAGTCAACAAAATACATCTTCGATACAAAATTATTTAGATAGATATACAAAGTATTGCATGTTGCTGAAACAGGAGTTTGTATTCTGTTTCGTAGTAAACCAAACTTGTCCCTCTGGTCCACCGTACCTACTCTCAAGCGGAGGTTGATGGTTTTTTTTTTTTAATTCCAGTGCAAAAAATAAACCCAGGTTAAAAAAAACATAAAGCCCACCAAAAATAAGCCAAAACCCAAACCTCTGCTTAGAGAGTACACCGTACCTAAGACGGATTAAGTTTAGTCTATGACCTTTCTTAAATCATTTCACTCCACTTCTGGTGCTGTGAGCTATGAAAACAGTTAATCGCCAAAAGTGGTGCCAACAATCATCTTACAGTGTCTGGTCATGTTCAGTGGGTTGGAAGTGGCATGCTTTAGAAGTGGAAACACATGTCTCTTAATACTGTGCTGTATACCTTCGGTAGTTACGGCGCGATCACGTTTGTCGTAGACCGTCGTAAATACGATTTTGTCGTCGTACGACGAACCTAAGACAGTCTACGACGGACTTTTTTTGTAACAAGACAGCTGCTGGATTTCCTACGACACATGGAGGACTATTCCAACAATGTCACTTTTCAAGCAGGCTGACAGAACCGACAAGCGACAAGGATGTAAGACGACATTATCGGTAGCTACTTTTTTCACGACATTTGCACGACTATCTCAAGAACGCTCCTAGATTGTAAGAGGATCGTACGACGAATTAATCTGACCCGTTAAGCGACTTAACTTTGTGTACGACTCGCGCGTTCGATTTTGACTTGTCTCTTGTGACAGAATGTTTCGCAGGACTCCCCAGATGTATGGCAGCGTTTCCCATTCTTGGTATCCAGTCTACCGTGCTTAGGACAGACTGTCTTCGGGGCTCTGACAGTTTTCCCCCGTCCAGCTCAACAGACCGCTCGGTAGGAGTGTTACGCCTGCAGGAGTTCTGCACGCCAAGAGTTGATTAGGGGCTAATTAAATTCCCGTCGTGCAAAACCTACCGGGGAACCTAGCTGAGTTCACGGGTCGGGGAGGAGTTCCTGCGGCCCCGAAGAGAACCCGTCCCAACCGCGATAAACTCAGTGCCAGACACCAGGATAATTCTTCGTCTCCTTCCGACTTTGAAACTTCAGACGCTGCCAGGACACGCTGCCAAGGATGACATACAGTGTCAAGGAATTGGAAAACACGGAAAACGAGGAAGGCGGAGTCAAACACTGCAATTTTTTCACTCCCAAACCCTGTAGTTGTGCAATAGACGACTCTGACACTTGCTGGCGTCGATTGGTCGAAATCGTACGGGGATACCAGAGGTCCTTCTCCGTCAAAGTTAATGGCTTATGGTGGGGCCACATTCAACTTTCTATCTTTTTTGCTATAGAATCGGATTTGCAAGCAGGCTGTGACCGGATCACACAAGGGCCTACGGAAGCCTTGTCTGGCACGAGCTAGATTTCGTACGACAGGACTACGTGCAGGATTTTTACGTGCAGGACTATGCCAAGAATGTCTTTGCGATCTTGGGACGATCGCACGATGAATGTAATACTAGTATGTAATCGGACCCCCATGTGTACATGTAGACCATATCTGAAAGCTTGTCTTGTAGCACACGCCGTCAAAACTAGACGGAAAAACATCAAACGGAGGGGGAAATTTTGTGACAATTTTTTTTTTGCTGTGGACAAAGAGTGTCCAGACAAGGACTGCTAGAGCCCCCAGCCTTTTGTAAGGGTCATCGTTGTAAAAAAAAAAGGATGTTTTTGAAACCGTCCTATCGGCGAAATGTACGGAAAGCTGGATACAAGAATCACAATACGGGCACCGAGACCGAGGTCTATGCAAAAATACATCGGCTGGAACACGAGTTAGAATCTCAGTTTCGAAAAGTTACGTGTACTTGTGCTATTCACGGGTTTAAAGACCATGAAAACCATGGAATTCAACTGATTCCGACACTAGAGCCAGCGGATCCATGGAGTAATACAAGTGGTACAAAAGAAATGGCTAACCGACCGACTATCTTATGGGAAAGGTATGAACTTTCAAGACATTTGGCACTGAAGCTAACGCCTTGCCTGTATAGCCAGGTGCAAGCAGTTCAGAAATTAGATATCTCTATTTCTCGCCCATCACAAAAATACCTTTGCGACTTATAACCATTTTTGCTGAACATCAAGTCAATTAGAGAGAAAATTTACGGTGAAAAATGAGCATCCATTGATGATTCGGCGTAGCACACCAGCTTATGTGCTTATACTATAAGTTATAGTCATTATAGGCATCCAATGCAATTTTATAGCGTCAAAGCGAGATTCCCTAGTTTTTTTTTCCAATTTTTGTTGTCAGTTGAATCGACCCTATCCCATAGCATACTGATATCTGTCAGGCAAAATGCAGCGTTGCTGACGAGAAACGGTTTCTTGTTTTGTATCGTAGGCTAATTTTAGTTATTTATTATATTATATAAAAAAATATGGACAATTTTTAAATTTAGTAAGTTGAGTCGATCCTGTCCCATAGCTTAGAGATCCCTGAGGCCAAGCCGTGATGTCGCTTACGGAAAACGGTTACTTGTTCTGTATCGCAGTTTTGTCTTGCTATTTATGGATGGTACCCAAAAATAAAGAGACGCCTCATGTAGCTTGCTTTGGGGCTATTTCAAACGCTTCAAGTATGAAATGATGACGAAAATGTGCTAAGAAATGGCTCATTCTCATTGTCATTGAAATGTACAGAATTCCGGTAACGGAGGTTACAACATCACACTTTTAGCTTATTTCTCCAAAAAGATCTACAGTTTTTAACTTCATCTTTTAGGAACAGGTGGTTGGAAGTACGGACATTTAAAAATTGGTCAACCTTCTGATACCAGGTGAAGTTTACTACTAATATTGAAAGTAACAAACAACCGTTACGAAGGTTACAGTCAGTAATGTAAAATATTTTGTTCAGCAAGGGTGGCTACGAATCACACCGAGCTCTCCTTTGGTTTTCCCTTAGAAACGTAGAAAACTTGCAAAATGTCATCAAAACGGCAATTTCTTGTCTTTTATGTGGCTCTTTCTAAATTTCACGGCCGCCTTGCTGGAACGGTAACTGAGGTTACAGAAATCTGAGGTAACTCAGGTTAAAGTTCTCTCCAAACACGAAGCTATTATTTCTTACAAGTCATCAGCCAAACCTAGTGTTGCGGTACATCTCTCGTGAAACATTGTGAGTATATATAGTGGGAAAGTGAAGAAAGCAATAATAAGGTTCATGATTTAGCTCATATCAAGTCTTAAAGAGTGGCGTTGTGCATTTTTGAATGAAAACGGGCCCAATATCAGACAGATTTCGTCACCCAGAATTCTAGCATTTTTGTTTTGTTTTGACGCTCTGAAATTGCTTTAGATGCTTTTCTGTACGGTAAATTGAAGCAAGCATGCAGTGCACATGTCACATGTATGATATGTTGGATATTTACTCACCGTGAGCAGTTGGCTGTCAGAAGTTGCAGACAGTCGAGAGGATGTCGGTCTACTGGTCGTCCCGTCGCTGAAGGCCTGAACAAGGCGTCTGTCTCTCTCTCCCTGCCTCTTATAGGTCCGTTGATTGTCCTCATTTGCATATGAGTCGGGGCATCTTTATAATTGACCAATAGCTGTGGACATACGTGGTGGCGTGATGTTCCTTTTTTTTCTTCTTGATTGAAGTACAAAAAGGACATGTACAAGTGGATTCCATCGCTGGCTCAACTACCTTTGTGCACGTAGTCACCATGAAAAATACCATATTTTTTTTCTATTCCGACATTTTTATTACAAGACATGGCGACCTCACATTCAAGTTCTTTCAATTAATTTCTATGTCCTCACCAACCCAGAAAAACGCATGAACGGACAACAGACTCATTTTCACCTGAGTTAAGTGAGGAAATTTGTCGAGTGCCTTTCCCAAGGACACAAGATCGGTGGCATGGCGGGATTCGAACTCGGGACCTCTTGGTTCCGAGCCGAACGCTCTGTCGTTACACCACACAACCCCGACCAAATTTTGTCAGATCATTGATAAAGACATTTTAAATATTTTGTGCGTTTCGCCGTCTATACTTTTACATCTTCCATCATATTCTAAGGCCACACCAATTTAATTTGTTGGTTCTCGGATTCGCCTCTTCGTTTTTTTTTTCTGATTTGCAAAAATAAAAATTGATTCTGGTCCTGAATCAACTGAAAAATGCTCATGTTTTGCCCCCAACAGTTGGGGAAAGTCCTTTTCTTCGTAGTTGTTAGTTTTCCCATCTATCATTGCAGTGGTTTGATTAAAAGTTAAAATTCAATGTTTAAATTTAACCCTAGCCTTTTGTGTTGACTTCATGGCTCATTACGTA